ATTATTTTAATCATTCAAAAAAAAAAAAAAAATATACATTTATATAACTGAAGTCTAAAAGCTATTACTTATTAAATTAATGATACAACACTATTCTTTACTCAAAGTGTAATTACACTCAAGTACAAAATGCCTAGTTGCTATATATTATCCTTTGTCACTAGTCGCTCGTAATTATTTTAATCATTCAAAAAAAAAACTTTTGAAACTATTTAATTGTATATTGTTGTATAATAGAATCTACATTAATATGTTTTCTAATAACTTGAATATTTAAAAAGAACTGTAAAGGTTAATAGGTGTAGATGCGATTGCACACGACAGTTGATACAGTGTTCAGAAATTTTTTGAAATTGTAAAATTTAAGACTGTATGTAACTAATATGAATTTATAAAAATACTCTACATAACATAACTCTGTGTATTAAATTTTACTCGATCTAGCCTTATATATTTTCCTGATAGGATCAGCTACTGTTGCAATAATACATATCAACGAAAGGTCAAGACTTTTTTTTAGTCTTCTTCATTGTTGGTACCTGCTGGCAAGCTCGTGTAATTCGTCACCAGTTTTCTGTAATAATCGTTTTAGTATATACGTGCATCACTTACAGATGGAGGTTTGCGGTTCACGGTGAGTACTGTAATTTTAAGGAACATCATTCTGTGTATGAAATAAATACGACGTTTTGATACTTCATTTGAGCTTTAATCGACAATAATAGATAAATGATGGGAATTTCGTACATCTTTACTTTGGACAATAATGCATATGCGCTCGTGCAAACGAGACATTGTTTTTTTTTTCTGTCGATGAAAAAAAAAAAAAATGATGTATTAAAAATACTTTTGCCGTAGAAAAAGAAGAAAAACTAGTAGGAAGATTTATTATTCTCGTTACACAATATCGGGGAATTTACTTTCGTAAAAAGTATACAGAAAATTGCTTCTTTCGATTATTCCTGCTCAATATATCACAAGTCAACCAACTACACTCTCATTAATATATTTATATTTAATATTAATAAGCCAAGTGTTAAATTACAATTTTAGTACCGCCATTACATTCATACCTAATTCCTTGCACAAAGCGTACAATTACACTCTAGTACAGAATGTATCAATAACATCGGCCTAATCCATACATCGGATATATTTTCCTCTGTTACCGTTATTTTACAGTCTCTCGAGTTTATTTTTATCGTGTGATAAAAACAAAAAAATAATAATAATAAAAAAGATCCTTAGAAAAGGAAGAAAAAAAATAGTTGATCAAGTTAAAGAGGAACATCAATGCAGGTGTCTTTTTTGTTGTGGCTGGAACGTGATTGATTCAACTTTGAAAATAAAAAAATAATTAGAAAAATAAGATTTCTAGTCAAATCTATTGTTAGTTACCAATGGCAATTGATACACATTATCAAGCAAAGAAAATCGATAAATTAAAAAAAAACATTGCTTTAGGTACAGTATAAAAGAAAAAAAAAATCGTCAACGAATGTTCCAGCCTGTACACGATCCCTCCTCAAAGGTTTACAAAACGTCGTCGTCGTCGTCGTCGTCGTCCAAGTCCTACGTTGAAAACCTATCATCCAGAGTTCGCCCGGTGACGCCAAAATTTCCGCTGAGACTGTACATTACTTCGGAGAAGCTCCGGTCCTCGAGATCGCCTTCGAGACCGATTACGTTGTTGAGACCGATTGCGCGCTGAGTACTCCTTGCGCGCGAGCGCGACCTTGATCTTGCGCGCCTCTGCGGCTGCCGCCTTGGCGACTTTATTGGCTCCTGCAAATCGGTTGACAAATTTCTACGATAGAATTATGAAGCGTTTATATTACATTTCGATTAGATGTAGCTTAGAAACTGACACCAGATTTATATACGGATACACAAGGACTTACTGTTTTCGGTATTATCGTTTGGAAGCTTTTTAAACTCTGCGCGTATGGCGATTTGGCTCGCATTTGGCGCGCGTTCAGAGAATTCTGCGACTGATAGAGGGCCAATGAGGGATGCTGTTTCGAAACGTACTCGTTCAGAGAGCTCATGTAGTCGATGGGTATGGCTTTGGCTCGGGCAGCACTGAAATTCATACCATAATGTAGTTTGTGTCTCAACAAAGGCCAAACCAACTAATTTTTATTTTCAATCGTATCAAGCGATCGAGAACAGTGTTGTAATATAAATTCATTGCTTCGTACTTCACTCTCATGAGTTTCTGTTCGTACTGTGCGCGCCTCTGGGCTCTCAGTATCTGATCCGAACGTATACTCCCGGCACTGTAACGTCTTTGCCGTCCTTGCGGTGGTAGACTCTTTCTAGACGGTGACAACTAAAACATATATGTCAAAATCAAGCATTTCATTTAAAAATGTATTACAGGAAAAAAAACCAAAAAAAAAAAAACACCACGACGATACCTGCAATGCGTTCTTGATAACTCGGTTTCTGTACGCAGTCTGAGCAGAAGTGTTTTGATAACCCAATCTGTCGTAGACAGAGGACGCATCGTCGTCCCTTAAATCCGGCAGGCTGTTGGTCCTCTGTAGGTAGCTCCGGGTCGGGGACGAGTAGTTGCTGTTGTTCTGATAATTAATCCTGCTCCGACTCCGCGATTGTCGGTATCTACCGCCGCCACCACCGCCCCAGTTTTCGCCACCACCGCCACCACCTCTGCGAGGACTGTAACTTTTGTTACTGTAGCCCATCGGACCGTTGTATTGGCTCATTCTGTTTAAGGACACGGAGCTTCGGGATCTCCGCAAATTCGTTTGATGATAGGGCACGTAGTTGTAATTGTTATAATTGTTGTACCGCTTTTGAACAAAGCCGCCCCGCACGCCGTTCTGCGAGTACCTCCTGTACGGACCGCCGCCCCGGTAGTTACCTCTATTGCCGTTGTTGTTGTTGTTGTTGTTCATAACGTTGTTGCGATTATAATTGTTATTGTAATTGTGGTAGTTGTTGCGGTTGTTGTAATGATTCATCGTTCCGCGGTTGTTTCTCATCATATTGTTGCCGCGGTTGTTTTGACCGCGACCGCGGTAACCGCCACCACCGCCGCCTCTCTGGTTATACTGATGGTTATAGGGGCCTTGGCTGTTGGACCTCTTCTTCCTTTCCATTTTAATAATGTCATCTTAAAAGTACAAGAAAATTTCACGACTTTTTGGTGAGCGTACGGCCTCAACAGCGAGTTTTTTAAAGATATTTTTAATAAAATACGTACGTAGGTAATGGGTATATTATTATTATTATTATTAGTATGATATATATGCATCATATCAGTGTGTGCGTGTTTATGGGATTTTTAATTTTTTCTTACTATCAACGGAGCACTGTAAGCACATGGTATTGATAATTTTCAATAAGATTTGTTCACAGCTGTTTCTTTCGTCTTTGTTAACTAATAATGATAATAATAAACATGAGTAATTAATGTTATTCGATCAGGTTTGTAAATATGTTAATTAAATCGTCATCATTCGTCAATCTTGAAGACTCCTTTGCGATATCCGTATCATCATCATCTTCTATTCGTGCACAGTTTTGTATACATACATTCATGGGGAGTAAATCTCACAGGGCAGAGCCGTGGGCCACGTGTATTCTAAACTGGATCCTGGCGTACCAGGGGAACATGACGCGCCAAGAGGTTCGTATACGCGTACGGTGTAGACCTGAGGCCGCGGCCACATAGACGCGTCCGATCGCGTCCGCACGCGTTTGACGTCTGTCAGAATCGTGCCTAGTTCTTCACTGCCAACGTGCAAACCTACTAAGTACAAATGAACTACAAAAAAGTGTGAATATACGGGATGTGTTAGGCGTTCTCGGGCTCGTTCGGGGGGAGCGCACGTTGCCGATACGAGTGCTGTTTTTGAGAGCGTGTTTCTCGTGGCTTATATCGTGCTTCGATTAAGTTTTCTGCTCGAATTAATCGCCATTTTCAGTGTTATCAATGATAATGGTAGCAGATTCGGGAGATTAGTAGTTTTTCCGAGATTAATCAACATAATTGGGGCCACCTAAGCGTGGCTACATAACCTCTCAGCATGACCAGCAAGGTTTTCTCCCCCCGCTTCCCTCCTGGGATGGTGAAGCAATCTAGTTATGAATTCAGTGTTGCTACCGACCGTAAGATGTCAGCAGCTGCCTCGTCGTATGCAGATAAAGTTGGATTTATACGAGAACTGGAGATGCGAGAGTGACCTCGTGGGCCTTTTTTTTCTTTTTTGACTGAGTAAAGAGTTTTTATTTAGTGCTATTTTTTATTTGTGCTTCCAGGGTGGCTTAGGCCTACCCTGGTATCATCTTCACCCCAGACAGTTTAGGCTGAGGGCAATTAATCATCTCCAAAGCAAGTGCTACATAACCTCAACTGCAGTTTCATGCTCTGGTATCCACCCCCGGTAACGGGTGGTGCTGATACGATGGAAAATGACTCTGAATGGGGTCTCAGGAGCGAGGGTTTCGCTGCTGACATGCCCCCAGAGCATACTATGGATTGGAGTATACAAGAAAATAGTGATAAATCCCTTCCATTCAATAATGGTGAGAACAACAAAAAAAGGAAAAATTTTGATGCAGAAAAGCTAGACAAAAACTGCATCCAAAAGAATCCCAAAATGATCAAGGATGACAAGGAAGAATCTTTATCAGGGGTGCAAACAACTATCGACAAGAACCGAACAGTGTTTCAACTGTCCAATGAAGGACCATATGGAGTCTGGATCAAATACACCAGTACACATACCGGTAGCCCAGTACTCAACGAATACACAGTTGCAAGTATCCTATACAATAAGTACAAAAATAAGTTCACCGACATAAGTAAGAAGAACATTGGTCAAGTTGAAGTTTTGTTCGATGACAGAGAGGCAGCAAATAACCTCCTATCTGACAGTGTCCTGAAACAACATGATCTGGAAGCCTTCATTCCTATATACAGACAATCAAGAAAGGGTCTCATTAGAGGCATACCGACAGACTTGAGTGAAGACCTTATCCTAAAACATATCCAGAGTGAAACAAAAGTAATAGAAGTCAGAAGATTAAAAAGGAAAAACAAGCTGGCCAAAGAAGATAAAGATCGATGGGTGCCTAGTGAAACTATCCAGCTTTTCTTCGAAGGTCAATTCCTACCCAGCAGAGTGTTCATTTTTGGATTATCCACAAGAGTTACCCCCTACGTAAGGAATCCCATACTTTGCTATAAATGTCTACGCTATGGCCATACCAGTGCTCATTGTAAAGGTAAAGAGGCCTGCATTATGTGTAGCAAAGAAAAACACGAAGGTCAGGCATGTGTTGGAACTACTCCGTGGTGTCCACACTGCAAAGCTCCGCATAAATGTACAGATCTACAAGTTTGTAAAGAGTACAAAGATCAAAAGGCCATCCAAACCATAATGGCCTTTGACAACCTACCCTACAGTGATGCCAGACGTCAAGTCAAGAAAAGGTTTGGAGAGTTTAGACCAAACGCAAATGAATTCCCAATGCTAAGAGAAAAAGCCCTTAAAAAGATTTATGGTACAACAGAGCCTAACAAATCATACAGTAGCACGGTTAAGCAAGCTTCTGCTACCAACCTAAGCCAGGAAACGAGCCCACAATCCACAAGTTCGAATACGCCAAAGAAGAGGATTCTCACAACAACAGATCCAGGTCATTTGAACAGAGACAATAGTGCCTATAACCATAATATGGTTAACTTAAACTCTCTGAACAAATTAATGGCTAAGCCTGCTGAAAATAAAACGGCCAGCATAGACGTAGAAAAAGGTATGATTACTTCCAGTCCTTCGACAAAGTCCAATCCTGCAAGTAACTCGGCTGACGTGACGGCAATAGATGCTCTGCTCAGCTTGAGCCAACCTATCATCCCAGTCACTTCGAGCAGCCAGAATAGAATCCTCAACAAGAGTACAAGCAACGTGTACTCCAATAAGAATAAAAAAGTCAACTCTGACACCAACATGCATAAGGAAAACAAGCAAGGTGATACTAGACTCAACGACACCAAAGAAAGACTCCAAAAGAAACTCCAAGAAAAAAATAGAAGTTTAACGAACAATTTAAAACTAAATTCGCATTAATTTAAATTTTTTATTTACTAATCTTACATAAAACACTTTTATATTTACAGACGTTCTATATTACCTAAAATGTCCAGTCTAAAGATAATTCAATGGAATGCCAGAAGCATCGGCAACAAGCTTGATTTGTATCATAATGTCCTAGACTTTGATGTCGTCGTGGTTGTGGAAACATGGCTTCAACCACACGAAAAATTCAGTATAAAAGGATTTGAAACGGTCAGATTCGACAGAGATAGTGGCGAGAGAGGAGGGGGGATCGCCTTTTTTGTCAGGAGTAGCCTGATCTTTGACGTACTAGATTTGCCACTCAGTGAACCCGGATTTGAGGTCGGCGCCATTAGGGTGGACACGAGTCTGGGTCCGTTAAGTATAATTGGCTGTTATAGAAGACCAAATTCAAATAACAACCTTAGTAAAGAAAGCTGGATTGAATTATCCTCTAAAGTATCACAATTTGACTCTTTTCTTCTTGTAGGTGATTTTAACGCCCATCATGCTTTCTGGGGCAGTAAAAAGAATTGTACTAACGGTAGAACCCTTGTTGACAATATGGATTATGATAAATTTTTCTTACTTAACGATGGTAGCCATACCCACGTTACCATCTCTCAGAATGAGTGTAAATATTCAAATATCGATCTTTCTTTTATCTCACACAATTTAGCTCTCTTAACAACCTGGCTCGTGTTGGATGATACATGGGGAAGCAACCACTTCCCAATCCAGATTGAAATAAATACATCCCCTGAACACATGCCAAAAATTGACTATAGGTATAATTTAAGTAAATTAGATTGGACCAAGTTCAAAGATAAATTAGAATCCGGTAAACACATGTTCTCTTCTATTGATTTTCTTAACTGTCATATCTTAGAAAGATATGAAAGGTTCATTACCTTCATTGACTCTTGTATAGTAGAATCGTTAAATTACAATTTTAAAAAAAATGATCTGACAAAAAATCCACAAACATCTTTCAGCAACAAAAATCCCAAAAGAAAAAGAAAACCTAATGCCATTTGGTGGAATGTTGAATGTGACAAAGCTATAAGGATCAGAAAGGCCAATCTTAAATCCCTCCGATACAGATGCAATCTTCAAGATTTTATTAATCACAAGAGAATCATTGCTCTAACAAAAAAAACATTTCGAGAAGAAAAAAAAAAGTCTTTTAAAAGGTTCTGTGAATCCATCTCACATCAAACTAAAATCTCAGAAGTCTGGTCAAAGGTCAAACGCTTCAAATCAGGTTTCAATCGTCCTGATAACTCTAGTGGTAATAAGAAATTTCTAAAGGAGACAGTTACATGTCTCAATGAATTATTACAGCCAAAAAATCTAAACAAAGAGGCATTTGATTTTTCTTCTTTGGACCACACGTCAGACAACCCAACACATATTCTATCCTCTCCATTTTCATATAGTGAACTTTTGTACGTCCTAGACAACGTTAAGCTTCAGTCAGCACCAGGGGCAGATAGAATCAATTATCTAATTCTGACCAATTTACCAGAATTTTATAAGAGAGTACTCTTAGAACTTTACAACGATATTTATGACAAGGGTCTCTTCCCAGAAGAATGGTCTTGCTACCTGATTACCTTTTTACCTAAGCCAAATGGTAAAGCTAGGCCTATCTCCATGGCCTCTTGCGTCCTTAAAGTCATGGAAAAAATTGTAAATAATAGATTGGTGTGGTGGCTAGAAAGTGAAAGAATCCTTCCTGACCAACAAAACGGATTCCGAAAAGGACGCTCATGTGCAGATAACCTGACTAGACTAACGTCAGACATACAAAAATCGTTTTACCTTAAGAAAAGCACTGTAGCAGTCTTCTTGGACATAAAGGGTGCCTTCAATAACGTGATTCCGGACATTCTTCTCGACAATCTAAAGGCACTAAACTTACCTCACCGATTTATTTCTTTCATTGGCAACCTGATATACGACAGGTACTTGATTCCAGTTAACTCTAGTGTAAGAGGCAAATTCAAAACTAACATAGGTCTTCCCCAAGGTCTCTGTTCTAGCCCGA